AAAGGGGAAAAAGGAATAGGGAAGAAAGGGGGAAAATGGGGGAAAAATAATAGGGGAGAAAGGGGGATTTGAGGGGAAAAGGGAGGGAAAAATAGGGGAGAAAGGGGGGAATTTGAGTGGAGAAAGGGGGAAAACGGGGAAAAAAGGCGGAAAAAATAAGCGAGAAAGGGAGAATTGGAGGGGAAAAAAGGGGGGAAAAAGAACGGGGGGAAATAAAGGAGGGGAATTTGTTTTTTTTTTTAATTTTTACATAAATTAATTTAATTTTAAACCCGCCTTTTTAATTCCTTTCCCCCCCCTTTTCTCCTTGAGGTGCACCCGGGGAAATAAAATCTTCCCCCCTCCTAAAAAAAATGAAGATGCTGTTGAAAAAAAAACCCTCATTTTTCAGAGAGGCTGCGGCGCTGATTTTTGCTCATTTCCCCCCCTTCCTCCTCGTTATTTACGCCCCTCACGTCTCGCGCCGCGCTCCGGGGTGGGGAAGCAGAAAATGACATTTTTTGAAGTGAAGGTCAGGGCAAAAGGGAGGAGGGGGCGACGGAAAATCCTCAAAACCCAAGAAATGCCCCCAAAAAAAACCTCAGCCCCGCACCCCAGACAAAGAGCAGCGCCCAAAAATGGGAATATTCCCTTAAAAAAAAAAATCCAGCGGGAATCGCGTTTTCCCCAGAAATCCCGGAGGGGGTGGGGGGCTCTTTTCACCAAAATCGCAATGTTTCTCCCCAAGTTAAATGTGGGGGTTTTGAGGGAAATCCGCGCTTTTATCCAGAAAAAAAAAAATAAAAAAAATTCTTCCCCCCACCCTGAGCTGAAAATTCCGATTTATTTTCGCCCCCGGGTCGGCGCTGGGGGTTTAAAAAAAGCAATTATTGATTAGGGAGGGGAAATTCGGTCCCGGGGAATTGCGGAGCCTCTCCCGTCCTTGGCTGCTCTTCCTTCATTTTGGGGGGAAAAGGGGGCGACGGAAAATCCTCAAAACCCAAGAAATGCCCCCAAAAAAACCTCAGCCCCGCACCCCAGACAAAGAGCAGCGCCCAAAAATGGGAATATTCCCTTAAAAAAAAAAATCCAGCGGGAATCGCGTTTTCCCCAGAAATCCCGGAGGGGGTGGGGGGCTCTTTTCACCAAAATCGCAATGTTTCTCCCCAAGTTAAATGTGGGTTTTTTGAGGGAAATCCGCGCTTTTATCCAGAAAAAAAAAAATAAAAAAAATTCTTCCCCCCACCCTGAGCTGAAAATTCCGATTTATTTTCGCCCCCGGGTCGGCGCTGGGGGTTTAAAAAAAGCAATTATTGATTAGGGAGGGGAAATTCGGTCCCGGGGAATTGCGGAGCCTCTCCCGTCCTTGGCTGCTCTTCCTTCATTTTGGGGGGAAAACGGCGGAATTTGGGAAAAAGGAGCGGGCGCGGGGGAATTCTGCGCGAATCCGGAGGGTTTGGGGTGGATTCGAGGAGAAAAATGGGAATTTGGCGTTGAAAATGTGAATTTTGGAGGCCGGGTGGAAATGGGTTCATTGTCTGCTCCGCCGCCTTGGCCGGGGGGAAAATGGGGGGAAAAAAGGGAAAATCGGCTCAAGGTGGGCTGGGGGTGGCGCTTTTCCTCGGGGAGGTGTGTGGAAAAATTTAAAAAATGTTAATTTAAAAAAAAAATGGAATTTTTAACCCATCCGGAGGTTGGGGCCACCCCAAAGGCGGGAAATGAACCCGAAAATGTGAATTCTGCTGGGCAGGGAAACCTCGGCGCTGCGGAGTTTTGTGGAAATCGGAATTTGAACAATTCTGAAAATAATTTGGGTTTTTTTAAGGTGGGGGGAAGGTTTGGGTGGTGGAATTTTGGGGGGATTTGGGGCGTTTTTGGCGTCTCGACGGCACAAAATCCTTTGGGGAATGCTCTCGTCCCCCCAAGTCTTAAAAAACCCCAAAAATGAACAAAACGCCTCTGATTTGGGGTGATTTCCGTGTTTTCAAGGAGTTTCATCTGCAGGGGGAAAAAAATGAGGCCCGAGGGCTCGGAAATGGGCTGGAAAAGGGGGGAAATGGGAAAAGCGGGGATTTGGGGCTGGAAAAGGCAGAAAAGGGTCCGGGGGTCGGCGCTGGGTTTGTTTTTGCAGCGCGCACAAAGGGCAGCCGGACTTTGCCTCCAAAACGGATTTTTTACAGCCAAAAAATGGAATTTCTCCCACCCCTGGCAACCCCGGAGGATCGGCAGAGGGAGCTGGGGGGAAATTGGGGGGAAAAAATGGAAATAAATGGAATAAATGGAAAAAAAACCCGGCGGTTTTGTGGATTTATTCGCGCCTCGGGACAGCGAGGAGCGGCCGATCCAAGGGGAAAATTCCAGGATTTTCGCTCTTTTTTGGGGTTTTTTGGTGTTTTTTTCTTTTTTTGGGGGGGGCTTTTGTTTGGTTGACTCCGAGCAGCAGCAGGACAGAGAGAAAAATGGGGAGAAAAGGGGGGGAAATGGGAAAAATAGGGGGGAAATGGGGAAATGTTTAAGGAAAAAGGGGGAAATTTGAGGGAGAAAAGGGCAAAATGGGGAAAAATGGGAATAAAGAGGAAAGTAGGAGGGAATGGGGGAAAAGGGAAGAAAAGAGGGAAAAAGGGATAAAAGGGGGAAAAGGAAGAGGGAAATAAAAGGAAAATAGAAGAGAAAATTGAAGAAAACAGAAGGGGGAAAAGGAGAGGAAAAAGGGAAAATAAGGTGGGAAAAAAATTGGGAAAAGCAAAAAAAAAATAAAGGGGGGGAATAAAAAAAGTAGGGAAAAGGGGGAGAAAAGAGGGAATAAAGGGGTGAAGAAGGGAATAAAGGCCAAAAATTCTGGGGGGAAAAGGGGAAATCTGGGAAAAAAAGGGAAAAGCAGAGGACCCCCCCCCCAGGGCCCCCTCCCCGTCCAGGTGGGACCCCCCAGGAATGACAAAAACAACAAAAACCACCCCAAAACCCCCCCGGGGGGCCGGGTTTGGGGTTTTGGGGTGCGGGGGCGTCCCGGGGTCGGGATTTACCTGTGCAGGTGACCCGGGGTCACCTCCCCGCCAGGACGGGGGGGTTTGGGGCGGTTTGGGGGTTTTGGGGGATTTGGGGTCTGCAGGTGCCCCCTCCCACCGGGATCGGGGAGGAGGAGGAGGAGGAGGAGGAGAGCGCTGCCCGCCGAGCGCCGCAGAGGAGTCAAGAGCAGCGGAGCCGCTCGGAGCCGCCATGGAACGCCTCTGAGAGCGCGGTTAAAAACAAAACAACAACAACAACAACCAAAAAACCGGCAAAAAAAAAAAAAGGAAAAAAAAAGACTTCAGCAGTCAGAGGGACAAACCTCGCTTTGCTGCTTTTTTTAAATTATTTTCAGCGTTAAAGTGGATTTTTTTTGAGAGTTAAAGGTGGTTTTTTTTAGAATTAAAGAGTGTTTCTTTCAGGGCTAAAGCGGTGCTGCTTTTCAGGATTAATTTTTTTTTTTTTTTGGGGGATAAATTGCTGCTTTTTTTAAATTATTTTCAGCGTTAAAGTGGATTTTTTTTGAGAGTTAAAGGTGTTTTTTTTTAGAATTAAAGAGTGTTTCTTTCAGGGCTAAAGCGGTGCTGCTTTTCAGGATTAATTTTTTTTTTTTTGAGGATTAAAGCAGGTTTTTAAAGAATCAAACAGAGTTTTTTCAGCATAAACCCGGATTTTTTTTTTTCCCTAATAACTAGCGCGGTGTTTTTTTCAGAACCAACACTTTCTTTTTTTCTTTTTTTTCTTTTTTTTTTTTTTTTTGAGAATCAAAGCGGGATCTCTTCAGAACCAAACCGGATTCTTTATCAGAGTTAACCGGGATTTTTTTCAGAGTTAAACCTGATACTTCACCAGCTTTAAACCGGCATTTTTTACAGAGTTAACCCTGCATTTTTGCAGAGTTAACCCGGATTTTTTTCACGGTTCACCCGGATTTTTTCTCACAGCTCACCCTGAATTTTTTCCAGCGTTAACCCTGATTTCTTTCAGAGTTAACCCTGATTTTTTCCCCGGCGTCCACCTCGATTTTTCCCCACAATTCAACCTCATTTTCCCCCACAATCGAACCCGATTTTTCCCCACAATCAAACCCGATTTTCGCCGGAACCAACGCTCATTTTCCCCCCGATCCAACGCTCATTTTGCTCGGAACCGACCCTCATTTTCCCCCCGAACCGACCCTCATTTTCCCCCGGATCAACGCTCATTTTTGCCCCGAACCACCCCTCATTCTTTCCAGAACCAACCCTAATTTTCCCCGGAACCAACCGTCATTTTTCCCCCGAACCAACCCTCATTTTCCCCAAAACCAACCGTCATTTTTCCCGCGATCCAACTCTAATTTTTCCCCCGGATCAACCCTCATTTTTCCCCGATCCAACCCTAATTTTCCCCGGAACCAACCCTCATTTTTCCCCCGGATCAACCCTCAATCTTTCCAGAACCAACGCTCATTTTCCCCCCGATCCAACCCTCATTTCCCCCCCGAACCAATTCTCATTTCTGCCCCGATCCAACCCTAATTTTCCCCCGGAACCAACCCTCATTTTTCCCCAAAACCAACCGTAATTTTCCCCCAGAACCAACCCTCATTTTCCCCCCGATCCAACCCTAATTTTCCCCGGATCAACCCCATTTTTTCCCCGGGATAAACCCTCAATCTTCCCGGAACCAACGCTCATTTTTCCCCCCGATCCAACCCTAATTTTCCCCAGAACCAACCCTCATTTTTTCCCCTGATCCAACCCTAATTTTCCCCCGGATCAACCTCATTTCTCCCCCGAACCAACCGTCATTTTTCCCCCGGAACCAACCCTAATTTTCCCCGGATCAACCTCATTTTTTCCCCGGGATAAATCCTCAATCCTCCCAGAACCAACCCTCATTTTCCCCCAAAACCAACCCTAATCTCCCCCAAAACCAACCCTAATCTCCCCCTCACCCCCCCTCACCCCCCCCTCACCCCTTTTAACCCCTTCCCCCCCTCTCTCCCCGCACCCTTTTTGCATGCGAGGGTCATGAGTTCCTACTTCGTGAACCCCCTGTTCTCCAAGTACAAAGGCGGCGAGTCCCTGGAGCCCACCTACTACGACTGCCGCTTCCCGCAGAGCGTGGCGCGCAGCCCCGCGGTGCTCTACGGCCCCGCGGCCGCCGCGCCGACCTTCCAGCACCCCTCGCACCACGTCCAGGACTTCTTCCACCACGGCGCCTCGGGCATCTCCAACGCGGCCTCGGGCTACCAGCAGAACGCCCCGTGCGCCCTGGCTTGCCACGGCGACGCCTCCAAGTTTTACGGCTACGAGGCGCTGCCGCGGCAGGCGCTCTACGGCGCGCAGCAGGACGCGCCCGCGGTGCCCTACGCGGACTGCAAAGCGGCCGCGGGAGGAGGAGGAGGAGGAGGAGGAGGAGGAGGAGGCGGCGGAGGGGCCGAGGGGCAGGGGGGGCACCTCGGCCAGAGCTCCTCGCCCAGCCTGATGTTCCCGTGGATGCTGGTGGTGGTTTTGGTTTCCGAGGGGATGGGTTTGTTGGTTTTTTGAGGGATTTTTTTGGGTTTTTTTAAGGGTGTTTTTGGGGGCGGTTTTGGTTTCCGAGGGTATGGTTTTGTTGGTTTTTTTGAGGGATTTTTTGATTTTTTTTTTGGGGTTTTTAGGGATTTTTTTTGGTTTTTTAAAGGCTGTTTTGGTGGTGGTTTCGGTTTCCGAGGGGATGGTTTTGTCGGTTTTTTTGAGGGATTTTTTGATTTTTTTTTTGGGGTTTTTAGGGATTTTTTTTGGTTTTTTAAAGGCTGTTTTGGTGGTGGTTTCGGTTTCCGAGGGTATGGTTTTGTTGGTTTTTTGAGGGAATTTTTGGGGGTTTTTTTAAGGGTTTTTTTGGTGGTGGTTTTGGTTTCCGAGGGTATGGTTTTGTTGGTTTTTTTGAGGCATTTTTTTGGAGTTTTTTTTGGTTTTTTTTGGTGGTGTTTTTGGTTTCCAAAGGTATGTTTTTGTTGTTTTTTTGATGGGTTTTTTTTGGGGTTTTTTTTTTGGGTTTTTTTGGGGGTTTTTTTGGAGGTCTACTAGGGTTTTATTTTGCTGGTGTCTTTGGTTTCCGAGGGTATGGTTTTGTTGGTTTTTTGAGGGAATTTTTGGGGGTTTTTTTAAGGGTTTTTTTGGTGGGGGGTTTGGGTTCCGAGGGTATGGTTTTGTTGGTTTTTTGAGGGAATTTTTGGGGGTTTTTTTGAAGGTCTACTAGGGTTTTGTTTTGCTGGGGTCTTTGGTTTCCGAGGGTACTTTTTTGTTACTTTTTTGATGGGTCTTTTTTGGTGATGGTTTGGGTTCTGCGGCTGTTTTGGTTTTTTTATTCTTTTTTGTTGTTGTTGTTGTTAATTTTTGAGGGTTTTTTAGGTGTTTTTTTGGTTTCTAAGGGTGTTGTTTATTTTTGAGGGGTTTCTCGGGGGTATTAATGTTGTTTTTATTTGGTTTTTAAGTGTAGTTTTTTGAGATTTTTGGGGGTATTTTTTGGGGTGTTCTTTTGGTTTTTAAGTCTGTTCTTTGATTTATTTCTTGACTTATTTTCCGGGGATTTATTCGAGTTGGTTTTGGGTCTGGGGGGATTTATTTATTTATTTTTAAGACGGATTTTGTTGGGTTTTTTTAGGCAATTGTTGGGGTTTTAGGGTGTTCCGTGGTTTTTAGGGTTTTTTAGATTTTCAGGGAGGAAGTTTTAGGGTTTTTTGGGGGCATTCTGGGGGGTTTTTCCTTTTGTGGACGGGGGGCTTGGGTCGCTCCTGTTTTTCTTGGTTTGGGTCTGTTTTTAAGGCTCTCCTTTGTTTTGGTGGCGTTTGGGGCGGGTTTGGGGCTCTTTGGGTTGACTTCGGCGTTGGTCGGGTTGGGTTTGCTGTTTGGGTTGGGTTTGGGCTCTTTTTGGGTTGGGTTTGGGGTGATTTTGGTGTTTGGGTTGGATTTGGGCTCTTTTTGGGTTGGGTTTGGGGTGATTTTGGTGTTTGGGTTGGATTTGGGCTCTTTTTGGGTTGGGTTTGGGGTGATTTTGGTGTTTGGGTTGGGTTTGGGCTCTTTTTGGGTTGGGTTTGGGGTGGGTTTGGTGTTTAGGGTGAATTTGGGCTCTTTTTGGGTTGGGTTTGGCGTTTGGGCTCTTTTTGGGTGGGTTTGGGGTGGTTTTGGCGTTTAGGGTGGATTTGGGCTCTTTTTGGGTTGGCTTTGGGGTGATTTTGTTGTTTGGGTTGGACTTTGGCTCTTTTTGGGTGGCTTTGGGGTGGTTTTGTTGTTTGGGTTGGATTTGGGCTCTTTTTGGGTCGGGTTTGGGGTGGTTTTGGCGTTTGGGTTGGATTTGGGCTCTTTTTGGGTCGGGTTTGGGTCACTTGGGCGCTGCGAGAGGCGACGGAGGGAGGAGAGACGAAACCGGCGAGGAATTGGGGAAAAAGAGGAGGAAAGAGGGAAAAAAGAGCAAAAAGAGGCAAAAAAGGAGGGGAAAAGGAAGAGAAAGGAGGGGAGGGGGAAGGAGAAGAAAAGGAGCTGGGCTTGTTTGGGTTGGCTTTGGGTTGGTTTTGGGGCTCTTTGGGGCGGTTTTGGGGCTCTTTGGGTCGGTTTTGGGGCTCTTTGGGTCGGTTTTGCGGCTCTTTGGGTCGGTTTTGGGGCTCTTTGGGTCGGTTTTGCGGCTCTTTGGGTCGGTTTTGGGGCTCTTTGGGTCGGTTTTGCGGCTCTTTGGGTCGGTTTTGGGGCTCTTTGGGTCGGTTTTGGGGCTCTTTGGGTCGGTTTTGGGGCTCTTTGGGTCGGTTTTGGGGCTCTTTGGGTCGGAATTGCGCCCTTTGGGTCATTTTGGGTTGTTTGGGTCGGTTTTGGGTTGCTTGGGTGGGTTTCGGTGAGGATTGGGAGATTTTGGGGCGTTTTGGGCGTGTTTGTGTCTCGGTGAGTGTCTGCGTGCGCGTGGAGATGTCGGAACGCCGCGCACTGAGCAGAATTCCCACCTTTTAGCCCCAAATTCAGGCCTCTTATCCCAAAATCCAGGGGTTTCATCCCCAAATCCCGGCCTTTGAACTCAAAATCCCCACCTTCCATCTCGAAATTCCGGCCTCTTCTCTCAAAATTTGAACTTTTCATGGCAAAAATCCGGCCTCGTGTCCTAAAACTCGGACTTTTATCCCCAAATTCCGACCTTCTACTCAAAATTCCTGAAATTCTGGCCTCCTATCCCAAAATCCCGAGATTTTATCCCAAATTTCCGGCCTCTTCTCCCCAAATTCAGACTTCTCCCCCAATCCCCGACCTCTCTCCAGCACGCCCACCCCCAATTCCTCATAAATATATTTATTTTCATATTTATTGTTAAATAATGGCGACAGCAACCGCAGCTCGAACCCTCCGTCCATTTTTATGTTTTTAAATTTTTGGACAAAACAAATGGAGGGGATTCCCTGGAAAAAAAAATAAAAAATAAAAAAAAAGCAGAAATGGCGCTAAAAGCAAAACTTGGGATTTTTTTTAGGGCTTTTTTTATGGCAGGAAGACACGGCTCCCACGAGGTCGTTGGAGTGTTGATAAGAGCAGCGCTCTTAAAAATGTCAAAAATGTCAAAAATGCCCTTTTTTAACGGCCGGAGAGCTGGGACCTGCTCCGGAGGATTTCCTGGTGTTTGTGTAGATGTACAGTTAATTTTTTAACATGATTTTTGTGGTTATTTCTATTTATTCCGCTGTTATTTCGTATTTGTGCCGTTATTGTTTCATCACGCCTCCGGGGGAAAAAGTTGCAGCTGGAAAAAAATTGAAATTAAAAAAAAAAATCAGCGTGAAAAATTGAAATTAAAAAAAAAATCAGCCTGAAAAATTGAAATAAAAAAAAACCCTCAGCCTGAAAAATTGAAATTAAAAAAAACCAAACCTGAACAATTGAAATTAAAAAAACTCAGCCCGGGGCTGTGGGGCTGGGGTTAAAAATTAAATTAAAAATAAAATTTAAAAAGAGTGGGAAATTCAAAAGAAATCAATAAAACAAAGCCCGGAAAACGAGGGGAAAAGGAGGGAAATAATTCAAATTTCAGCTGCGGGTAACTCAAACCACGTGAGGCGTTTTAGGGCGAAAACCGAACAATCCAAAGCGCCCAAAATAACCCAAAAAACGGGGAAAAAAGAGAGGAATTGTGGCCGCTGGCGGCGGACGCGGCCCGGGGGCTGCGCCGGAGGAAAATCCTCATTTATTTAATTTATTGCATTTATTTATTCACGCGAGCTGTGAGCAGCCGGGAGCGCAGCCGGATCTGCGCTTTTTTCCCCCAAAATAAATTGATTTTCTCATTAGCGCCGGAGGGAGCGCGGGCGCTGCAGCCTCGGCCGCTTTGATTTTCATTTTTTCCTGATTTATTTTGATTTTTTTTGAGGTTTTTTGCCCTTTTCTGTCCGTGTTTCCCCTCCCGAGTTGGTTTTGCTGGCGAGGAGGAAAATCCTCGGGTCTCGGGTGGTTTTGAGGGGGAAAATGGAGATTTTTGAGGAATTTGGGCAAAAAGGAGCTCCCCGCCCCCTCCCTGGCTGCGTTTTGGGGTGAATGTGTGGAAAATGGAAAGAGAATTTTGGGGAAAGGGGTAAGGGGGAGAGGAAGAATGGGGGGAAAATGGGAAAAGGGAAAAAAAGGGGGGAAAAGAAAGAAAAGGGGGAAAAAGAAAGAAAGGGGGGAAAGGGAAAGAAATTGGGGAAACGGGAAAGAAATTGGGGAAAAGGGAAGAAAAAGGGGAAAAAAAAGAAAGAAAAAGAGGGAATAAAAGGGGGGAGAGAAGAAAAATGAGGGGAAAAGTGAAAAAAGAGGGGAAATTGGAAATAGAAGGGAAAAAAGAGGGGGAAAGGGAAAGAAAAAGGGAAAATGGGGAGGGAAAGAGAAAGAATGAGGAGAAAAGAGGGGAAAAAGGAGAAAAAGAGTGAAAAAAGAAGAGAAAAAAGGAAATAAAGAGGAAAAGGATGAAAGAAGAAAGAAAGAACCAAACCCCCCAAAAACCCCTCTATCCCCCGTTTTCCCGCAGCCCCGGGGCGGCGCAGCGGCCGCCAGACGTACAGCCGCTACCAGACGCTGGAGCTGGAGAAGGAGTTCCTGTTCAACCCGTACCTGACGCGCAAGCGGCGCATCGAGGTCTCGCACGCGCTGGGGCTCAGCGAGCGCCAGGTCAAGATCTGGTTCCAGAACCGCCGCATGAAGTGGAAGAAGGAGAACAACAAGGACAAACTGCCCGGCGCCGCCCGCGCCGACGGCGACAAGGCCGACGAGGAAGGCAACGAGGAAGAGGAGAAGGACGACGAGGAGAAGGACGAGAGCAAGGACTGAGGCTGAGGCGGCCCCGGGAACGCTTTTTTTTTTTTTTTAGGTTTTTTTTAGGTTTTTTTTTGGTTTTTATGGCAGACGATAAATCGCGATGTTTACGACGGCCATTCGCTTTTATGGAGTTTGGGACGGAGAGGCTCGCGCAGCGGGAGCTACCTGCCTTGTGGGTTTTATTTTGGTTCTTGCTGGAGGGTTGGTTTTTTTTTTGGGGGGGGGGCGGGGTTTAAAATGCTATTTTCATTTTTTTTCTAATTTTCACACATTTTTTTCCCAAATTTTCCCCTTTTTTTCCTCCTTTTTTCCTCTATTAGTCTCATTTTCCCCTTTTTTCCTCCTTTTTACCCTTTTATTTCTCCTTTTCCCCCTTTTATTCTCATTTTCCCCCTTTTTTTCCTCCTTTTCCCCTCTATTAGTCTAATTTTCCCCCTTTTTTCCTCCTTTTAAACCCTTTTATTCTCATTTTCCCCCTTTTTTTCCTCCTTTTAAACCCTTTTATTCTCATTTTCCCCCTTTTTTCCTCCTTTTCCCCATTTTATTCTCATTTTCCCCTTTTTTCCTCCTTTTAAACACTTTTATTCTCATTTTCCCCCTTTTTATCCTCCTTTTCCCCCTATTATTCTCATTTTCCCCTTTTTTCCTCCTTTTCCCCTATTATTCTCATTTTCCCCTTCTTTCCTCCTTTTTTACCCTTTTATCCTCATTTTCCCCATTTTCCCATCTTTTTTCCTCTATTTTTATCTCTTTTTTACCCCTTTTAAAAATTGATTTTCCCCATTCCCCACCTTTTCCCCCTTTTTTTCTCCTCCATTTCCCCTTTTATCTTCCTTCCCCCCTTTTTCGTTTTTTCCCCTTTTTTTCCACATTCCCCCCTTTTTCAATAATTTCCCCCTTTTCCATCCTTTCCCCGCCTTTTTGAATAATTTTCCCCATTTTTTATCCCTCTTATAATTTTTTTATTCTTTCCCCCCTCCCATTTTTCTCCCTGTTTTCCCCCATTTTCCCCCCCGCTTTTTATCAGTTTTCCCCCTATTTTTTATTTCATATTTGGAGGAAAAAATGGGATTGAAAATGAAATTTCGCGGCTAAACCGAATCATTATCCGGGGCTGGGAGTGAAATTTTGCTGCTCCCAAATTCGAATTTGGGATCCCTTATTTCACTGCCAGAGAAAATTCCCAAATTCCTGATTTTGCCCCCTTTTTGTCCTTCTTTTTTGGTTCCATAAATTGTGGAGGGGAGAAAAAAAACCGGATTAAAACCGGAATTATTAATCCAGGCTGGGCGGGAAATGTCATCGCTCCTCCCAAATTTGAGGTTTGGGAGCATTTTTCAATCTGAATTTCCCTTATTTGTGGTTTTTAAATTCCCCTAAAAGGGGGAAAAATAGGATTAAAACCGGAATTTTCGGATCAATAAATGAAATAACCGAGTAATCCCAAGGAGTGGGAGCGAAACGGGAGCGAAACGCCCCAAATTCGGGTTTATTCAAACACCTTTGACTTTGTCCCGCCTTTATTGGTTTTTTTTGGGGGCGATTTTTGCCTTTTTAAGGTTTTTTTTTCCCCCCTTCACCCTCCCGAACGACCCCGGGCGGATTTCCCAGATTTTCCCTGGAATTCTCCCTTTTCCCTGCGGGGTTTGCGGGGCTGATCCTCACCTGCCCCAAATCCGCCTTTTTCCAGGAATTTTTGGGAATCCCTGGACAGGCCGAGCCGCGCATCCTCCCTTTGTTTTTTCCCATTTTCCCCACGTTTTTTTCCCACATTTTTCCACGGTTTTTTCAGTGTTTTCCCACGCTTTCCGTGTTTTTCCCGTGTTTTATCAGTGTTATTCCATGTTTTCCCACCTTCTCCCACGTTTTTCCCCCGTTTTCCCGGTTTTTTCCCCGTTTTCCCGGTTTTTTTCCCGTTTTCCCCGTTTTCCCCGTTTTTCCCCGTTTTTCCCGTTTTTCCCCCGTTTTTCCCGCCGCTGTCCGTGAGCACTCGAAGTTCTTCCTGTACTACCTAAAGGGAAAACCTGCAATAATTTAATTATCAACCCCAATTAAGCGAACCAGGGGGGTGGGGCTTCCAGATCTTCAAATCCGCTCCGAAAATTTAATTTAAAGCGACGAGAGGGAGAGCGAGCGGCCCCGATGCAAGCTACTAAGTAGCCAAAAAAATTAAAAGTAATAATAATTAATAAATAATAATAATAAATAATGATACATAATAATAAAAAATAATAAAAAAAAACTTGTATTGTACTTATCACTACCTATAGAAGGAGTCATGCTTTGGAAGTATTTGTAATGCGGTTTTATTGTCGTTTGTTGCTGCTTATTTTCTTGGAAATAATTAATTAATGATGATGATGATGATGGAAAAATAAAAATTAAAAAAAAAAAGGAAAAAAAAAAGGAAAAAAAAAAAAACCCCAACAACTGAAACTGCCTAGTTGAGAACGCACAGTATTGTTATTATTTTATTGTGCTTATAAAGTAGCGTAGGAATCAATTGCACTGAATGTAGAGTTATTATCTATTTGTCTTGACTTTTATCTGTTCATGCTCGGGAAATGAAAAATGAAAAAAAAATAAAAAGCGGAAAAAATAAATAAAAAAATCGGGAAAAAATATATTAAAAAAAAATCGTCGTCTGTTTTTATGTACGGAAAAAAAAAAATGAAAAATAATAATAATAAAATGATTAAAAAGCCAGCTCGTCGTTCTGAGTGTTGCGATTCCCGCCGGGAAAATATTCAAAATATATATTAAAAAAAAGGGGAAAAAAGGGAAAAAAATGAAGAAAAAAAGCGCCAGCGTGGATTTGTGTCGTGTGCGTGAGACGTGCCGTAAATAGCGATGCTAATTCCAATTAATTCCAATTAAGAATAAAAAGGTTCAAAGCCAGCGCGGTGTCGTCTCTGCTTCACCACCCCGCCCTCCGCCTGCCAAAAACCACAACATTTTTTGGGGGAAAATCCCAGGATTTGGGGCAATTCTGGAGGATTCGTCCCGGCCAGCGAGGCAGGAAAAGAAAAATAAAGAAAAATAAAGAAAAATTTTGGAAACTTCCTGAATTTCGCTGTGAATTCGCCTGGAGCTGGGGGAAAATCGCAATAAAATCCAAATATTGAAAGATTTTGGTGTTTCGGAGCTTTTTTGTCGCCTCTGGCAGGGCTGGGAGAGGGAAATTGGAGAATTTTGGGTTTTTTGGGGAAAAATCCCATGGGAACGAAGCGGGATGGGGCGGGAGGAGCATTTTCCTGCCCGAATTTTGGGTGGAATCGCGGTGATTTTGGAGGTGGGAAAAAACCAAAGGGAATATCGGGAAATAATTAAATGAATTTGGTTGTTAATTTATTCATTTATGCGTTCCTCGGTTCTTTTCTTTTCCCATCAGATGGGAAAAAAAATCGCTTTTATTATTCTCATTTCTTCCCTTACAAACCGCTCGTAAAACACTTTATTAATGCAATTATTCTTGTTAATAATTATTTTTATTAGGGTTTTAATAATCGTGATTATTAATCCCGTTTTCCCCCCACTGCTGCGCATTGATATTTTATTCTGTTTCATTCAATTTTGGCGATATTTTATTTTATTCCCGTCAAAAGGACTCTCCCCTCCTCCTCCAAAATGAGGAAAATCCCCAAATGTTCCCCAAAATTTCCTCGAATCCGACTTTCCAACCGAATTTCTTTGATTTTCCCCCCGTTTTTCCTCCTCGATTTTTAAATGATAAATGAAGAGAATTCCCTGAAAGGTTTGGAATTGCTGGATCCCGGGAAAAGGAGAGGAAAGAAGGGGGAAAAGGAGGGAAAAAAGAGGAAAAAAAGGGGAAAAAAAGGAAAAACCAGAGCAGGAAATGGGGACTTGTGTGGGAATGCGAATTTTGGGGCATTTCTACCCGATTTTGCCTCTGGAATGGGGTTGGGAAGATGAAAAACACCCCCCAAAAAAAAGGAATTTGAGGGATGCTCGGGAATCGACCGAAATCCCCAAATCCTGGAGGTTTCTCCCCAAAAAAATCCCGAAAAATGCGAATTATTCCGGCTTTTTCCCGGCGGGAATGTGACGGGGTTTATCAGCCGTACACGCGCAGTTTGTGCTAAAAAATCGGGTTTTTGGGGAATATTTCTCGCGGTTTTCCCACAAGGAGATTTCCCCTCTCTTTATCACGGGCGGGATAAAAGGAGGGAACCATAAAAACCCTAAAAAACCGCAAAAAAATGGAGGAAAATTAAAGATATTCTGCTTTGCCTCTTAAAAATGAAAAAATGAAAATGATCTGCGCGACGCTCGGCGGGGAAGAGACGGAAAACTCATCAAAGCGCTTCGAAATAATAACAATAAACCCCGAAAAAAGCGATTTTTGCGGCGCATTTGTCATCTTTAAACCCCCAAATCCGCCGCGCTTTCATCCCGCCCTGACATTTATCTCCGCCGCTTTAAATGATGGAATTGCTTTTGATTTTTAGGGGGGAAAAATGTTGATTTTCTCATCGTCTCGAGGTGACATCCACTTAGCGGCGCGGCGGAAAAAAATTAGAAAAATTAGATTTTTTTTCCTTTTTTTTTTCTTTTTTTGGTGCGTTGCTCCTTTTTTTGTGGGCTGCAGTTTTTTTTTTTTTTTTTTTTTTTTTTTTTTTTTTTTTTTTTTTTATGGGGGGATTTAAATTTAAATGATCCTCGCGCCGGAATGACCGAAATTACCGAAATTAAACCCATCCCAGCCGCCTGGGATAAGAAATATCGGCTCATTGCCGCTTTTTATGGAGCAATCCCATTTTCCTGCCGCTCCCCCTTTTTCCCGGAGTTGCGAAAATCGCTTTAATTTACGATTCCGATCGCGCCGTCAGCGGCGAAAATTCGTTTATTTTTTATTCTGCCCCCGAATATCGGCGAGACAACGAATTTCTGGAGCGTTAAATCCCTTTTTTCCTCGCCGTAATTTTATTTTTTTTTTGTGGTTTTTAAGCCGGCTCGGAGGGAGGGGGAAATTCCGCCGGGCGGGTTGGGGG